AAAGACTTAATGCCTTGTGCCATCTTTTCCCGGGTATCTTCGTTGGCAGGTGGACCCTAGTGAAGACCACAAGAGTTAAAGACGAGAGAGACAGGACCTTCTGGTGGAGAATTCACTCCACTGCTGAAGCGCTGACACCAAAACTTCTGTGCTTCTAAAAACAGCTTAATAATTTACCCCTGTGCAGCACCTTGCTCCCCTAGTGCCTTATGCATGTTAGGCAGACAAAATTATTTGGGTAAATCCAATATTTTTAATTAGACCACCTAAAACAGTTGGGAAATTCTTCTTTGCAAGCTTTTGGATACAAACACCCTTCCTCAGGCTGAGGAAGTCTGCAGTTGTTCTATTCCACTCCATCCAGGAAGAGCACAGAGGCCAGTATGCGAGTGCCAGTCAGTGAAAATGCAAATTGAGGCAGTCAACAGACGAAAAACCACTCTACTATTTCCCAGCTACAGCTCATCACCAAGCCTACATTCCCTTTCCCCTGCACCTGTTTCTCACCCACTGACTGGCTTCTATTTTGTTCTGTCCCATCCAGGAAGAACACAGAATAACTGCAGACTTCCTCAGCCTGAAGAAGGGCATTTGTACCCAAAAGGTTGTAAAGAATAATTTTTCCAACTGTTTTAGTTGGTCTACTAAAAGATATCAGATTTACCCAAAGAACCGTGACTGCCTATGTCCTGCAGCCTTTATACCCAACCATGTTAGGGCACTGACTAATTTCACAGAAGGTCCCTCTGGACTTCACTTCCCTATGGCTCTCTCAAGTAGATGATAAGCCCATCTTATTTGAGACACTGGTTGACTCTTAAAGACAGAAATGCACAATTCCCTGCACCCAGCCCACTACTCAGAGCACCTTGCAACGGCTGAGTATTGCAGCAAAGAGCATTCTGGGTAGAGGCATGCAGGTGACAAACTTCACCTAAATCCTTACTTCAGATGGGCACCTGGATGCTGTACTGGTGGGAAACAGTTTAGTTACTATATGAACAACTGTCTCTATAAACCCCAAGCCAGGTTAAGGTCCCACTGTGCTGTGCACCCTCCAGGGACAGAAGAACTGCTTTTGTCCCAGAAAACTCTAGGCTTACAGGACGGCCAACAGGCAAGTTACGAACAATTTACAGAGAAGCAGAACATCCAGCTGCAGCATACGTGGAACACTTGGTGCCTGCGCCTGCAGGCCTACCAGCTGGCTGGTGTTTTAAAGCAGAACGGTTATAGACACACACATTAAGGTGCAAACTTATGCCCTTTGCAAGCCATAATGACGAAAAGCTGCCCTGTTCTCACCTCTCAAATTCAGAGGTGAAACAAAGAGCTGACTCTCTCCCTCAAGCAAAAAAAAAAAAAATGTACTAATTAAAACCAGGATGCAATTACCTTGCTGCTCACTAACATCTGTTTCAAGAGAGCGTAAAAATTACAAGCTAAGGCTAAATAATACAGGAATAATGCCTGGGAACACAATTAGTCACACTTACAATTCCCGTCACTTTATCTTTAAAGTAAGGTTTCCTGAAGTGACCCAGAAACAGGTTTGATGGCAAGCTCCTGCCATCTGCTGCCCTCGTTGTTTTTTGCACACCAACCTCCAACATGATTTCTGCCTGTAAGACAACAATAGTTCAGACATGTACATCAGCGTCACAGTGAAATGATCCAACCCCCAACCTCAGTTGGTGGCCCAGGTGTCATCAACATCCCAAGAGAGCTAAATCACTGTGTGACATCAGGCTATATAAGAGGTGGTTTGCCAGTCTAACATCCTAGCGGACCACCTAGAAATTCAGAGGGTAGCTGAGCAACTGGTCAAATGGGCAGCCCCTCCCAGCAACAAGAGACTGACCAGAAACATGCGCTGTGTGGCAAACTCCCTGATGGCACAGAGCAAAGCTTCTAGACTCATTGAGGAAAACACAACTAAAATCCACAGGCCTTTACATCCCTCCTTGAGTCCTTCACAAAAGGCTCCAGATGCTAGTGCTGGACACAGGCAGTGCAACCTACTTTAAAGGGAAACAGTCGAGGCAGAACGGTATTCAAAAATTCCTCGCTGATAACAACAATGGTGATTTTCTGAATCTCCTTATTCCTCACGGTGATGCTCTTTATCATGTATTGCTTCATTCGACTCAGTAAAACTGATCAGTGCCATTTCATTTTTACTTCAAAGTTTGTGTTTCCCACACCCCAACGTGAAGCTGCTTTGAGGTCTGCAGCTCATCGGGGCAGTGCTTTTAAGAAGATAACCCCTTGAAACAACCCCTCAACTGGGACTCCACAGAAATGTCTTCTTGGCTCATTATGTTCCCATCCTAAACCTGGGCCTTGCTCCAGCCAGTTCTTCCACATGCAAACCCCCTGAGAACAGCGCCGAGGAAGGCTCAACTCAGCTGCACCAACCTGCTGTCCTTTGTTTTGTTCAATCAGATCGCTGACTTCGTTGATCTTCTCCTGAATGATATTCTGGTACACTAGGTTCATCTCTAAACATGTCTCTGGGTCGTTTGGGAGAGAGCTCTCAATGTCGTCGTCATCATCATCGCTACCGTCCTCTCCATTTCCCACTTCCTGGGCAAAAAAAGAGGTCACTTCCATGGGGAGAAAGGGAAGGACGCACTGTGAAAGTTAGGACTAGCGTTACTGGGGGCGGCTGGTCAACACCCGCACGCATATACAGTGCAGCAAGGCACCTAACTGCCCGTTTTGCCCCAGCAGCCCCCTCGATGCTCCCACAGCCTATGTCACTGGTCAGGTCTGTGACGCCCCTCTTGCTCTGCTGACAGCTGCTCTCCCAAAATCAACGTCGGTGTCACAAGCACTGACGCCAATCCAACGCCCATCTTTGCTCCATCTCAGCTCGCCAAGTGGTGCCCGCCAGTGCCAGAGCCGCCCCTCCTGCTGCCAGTAACACTCCCCCATCCCACCCACAGAAACCTCTCGCTTTGGCGACACTGCCCCGGGCAAGAGCAGTCAGAGGCGATCCCCGTGAACACGCGTGCAAAATGCAGGATGCAGAATGGGACGTTAGAGCCGTTTTGCAAATGCTCTTCGTCTGTGCCACGGGCAAAAACACCGACAAATCCTATGACCCGCAGAGGATCCCGCGCGAATCCGCATTAAGAGATTTGCTGGAGGAAACTCGGCGGGTGTCCCCAAGACCAGGGGACAAAGAGAGGCCACGCACCATCTCAAGCGACGTGTTGGAGTCGGAGTCCTCGAGGTCATCTGTCGGGGGGGAACACGGAAGAGGTTATTTAGCCGAACCCACCTCAGCTGCGTCCCGGGGCCCTAAAACCCCACGCGGCTCGCAACCGAGGCCAGGCCCCGAGGGTCCCTTCAGCTCCTGGGGTGGGGGGAAGCAGGCAGGCAGGCGGGGCGGGCAGGGGGGACGCACCCGTGTCGGAGTCGCTGCCGGGGTGCGCCAGGGCCAGGCTAAGGGCGGCGCCGGGATCCAGGCTGCGCTCCAGCTCCTCCAGCTCCGCGATCTCCCGCTGGATCTTCTCCCGCTGGGCCTGCAGGTCTGAGGGCAACATGGCTTCGGGCCGTGGGCCCCCTGAGCGCCACGGGCTCAGGTCAACGG